ACAGTAAATCGTACAATAACAAATTATAAATCAAAATGAAGCTTATAATAAGAGGAATATAAATATACATAATCTAATTATTGAATAGTTATACTATGAGAATTTATAGATAATATTAGTCAATTAATATGTCTCAGTAGTTACTTGTGATTTAATCTTCGCTCGGATATAACAGATCGAATATTTTACTGGTTATTTTTCTTCACGCACTGACTTTAATGAAAGAACTGATAAACATTAACTAATATAATTGGGTTTTTCTCTTTTTCCTCAAAATTCACAAAATGAACATCTAAATAAATTCAATGAATAACAATTTATTGTATTATCCACTAAATAGGGTAATTAAATGTAAACAAATGATCAATATCAAGACTTTAAAAAATTCATCAGAAATGAGACATTTTAGTAAATCTAAACATTCAATATTAAGTATATAGAGAACTCCTAATAGAGCATAGGCCGCCAACCAGGATTCTCCAACCCACTCTGTTCTGGGCCTTCCTTTCTAATTCCATCCAATTCTTGTTCATTTTTCTCATGTCTATCTCCATTTCCCGGCGTAATGTGTTCTTTGATCTTCCTCTCCTCCTTTGGCCTTGAGGATTCCATGTGAGAGCTTGTCTTGTGACGCAGTTGGGTGCTTTCCTCATTGTGTGTCCTATCCACTTCCAGCGCTTCTTCCTGATTTCTCCCTCCGCTGGGACCTGGTTTGTTCTTTCTCACAGTTCGTTGTTGCTAATGATGTCTGGCCAACGGATCCGAAGTATTTTGAGTAGACACCTACTAATAAACACCTGTATTTTCTGGATGGTGGTTTTCATAGTTCTCCAGGTTTCTGCCCCATACAGTAGAACTGTCTTGACATTTGTATTGAAAATCCTGATCTTGGTGTTGTTTGACAGTTGTTTCGAGTTCCAGATGTTCTTCAGTTGTAAATATGCTGCTCTTGCTTTGTCGATCCGCGCCTTCACATCTGCATCAGATCCACCTTGTTCATCAATGATGCTGCCCGAATATGTAAAGATTTTACATCAAGAAATCTTATTAACATTTAAATATAGCAATAGTTGAGCAAATATTCATTCTCTATAACATTGTCTTCATGTTATGTAATCTAGAAAGTGTAGTACATGTGACATGTATATTAATGTTTTGTTGAAATTGTTCACTCTGTTACATTGCCCCTATTACCCATTATATAAAATCGAATTACAAAGTATATATATGTATATATATATATATATATATATATATATATATATATATATATATATATATATATATATATATATATATATATATATATATATATATATATATATATATATATATCTATAAACTTAATAAGACTGACTTTGTCAGTCGAAACGTATGTACATATATATTCATTCTAAATGCTGGTTGTTGCCAAATATCATCTATGAATTTATGATTATAGAACCTGAAGACAATGTAATACATCATTCATTCTAACTAATTGTAATAAATTAAAATTTTATGAATACTGTTACCGTATGATATCATCTTTAGTAAATCCGTATATAGATAATTTTTCTTTTAAAAAATGATTAGAAATCTGATATCTGTCATTGAGTTGATCAATTATTCATATGTAACGTAGAAACTGGCATATACATATACATCGATTCAACTTCCCACATCATATCAACAATGCGTAATGAAATCATAATATCAAGATGGTAATCATTATTACCACGACTACTAATATCAGATATCTTATTCAACAGTAAAACAGAGTGAACTGTATACTGACAGTATACTGACCTTCAGCCTACGCCATATATGATTCAAGTTAGAAAAAAAGCTAACACCTGTTGCAATTAAAAAAGATTTAGCAACGAAGAAAAATTTTGGAAGCTTGGTATTCATAGGGAAATTAAAAAGAGTTGTGACAATTAAACAATCATATATATTAACTAGAAATGGGTATTGTGGACATTATAGTAATTTAGTGGTTGGATTCATGAGTCATCTGAAGCTAGACCACCATGGAAAACTCGGAAGCACTGGATGGCCGTTTCTTCTTACTGTGGGACTCCTCTGCAGTGTGCACTCAGGGTTCCTCCTCGCGGGGTTCAAACCCAGGACCTCTCAGTCTCGCGCATGAGCCCCTAACCACTAGATCACTGAGCCGTCATTCAATGGTGTTAATGTTCAATTTCAACCAATCCACGAAGTCGCACCACCGTCCAACATTGTCATCAGTGAGTTACTTTCTGACAACAGACCCAGATGAACTCCACTGGTCACGGCTTTTCACTAGAACTTCAGGAAATACTTCTTGGAGACCGTCACTAGTGAGTATATGATGATTATAATCAAAGAGGGGTTTTGTGGATATTATAGTAATTTAGTAGTTGAATTCATAAATCTAGAGGTTAAGTGCTCACACGTGAGACTGATAGGTCCTGGGTTCGAATCTCGTGAAACAAGATCGTGGATGCGTACTGTGTGAGGAGTCTCACAGTAGGATGAAATGGCCGTCCAGTGCTTCCAGGTTTTACATGGTGATCTAACTTCAATTGACTTATGAATTCAACTATTAAATATACATTTCATTTCAAAATTAAAATCATGTCTGAATTAGACTAAAAATCATGAAATTAAATCAATGGTAAAAGTCATATGTAAACTATTTTTTTTGGTATTCAATATGATCAAATCAAATTTATAGGTTAGAAAAGGCTGTATTTGATATTTTATAGCTGTTCTCCATTTAACATTCAATAATGTCTCTTTTTTGTCAGAATTTTATTGAATCAATTAAATGAATATTGATACAGGTGATAGATAGTTTATTTCACAAGAACAATTGGTACTTGATTATAAATAAGTAACATTTGATTAAACATGATTGTTTTAGAAAAGAAACAATTATATAGTAGAGTGATTTATTGAAAGATAATTTAGATAAACATTGAATATTTTAGCTTGAAACTACTTTGGAAACTCACTTGATATTGTTTGGCTTGTATCTTCCCATTGAGGTTTAAGACTGCAATTGACCAGCTGACGAGTCCCAAATAGGACGAAACGCGAGTCCTGGATTCCACTGCTAGCCACTATCCATCATTGCTTATAAAAAATACTTTAGAAACTGTTCCCATAATTCAACATGGTATAAAACTCAAGACTTTAAAGTCTTATAACGATAGTAGCTATGTAATGGAACTCGTGACTAAATTCAATGCTTCAACAAATATCGTAACAATTGAAGTTCATTTAACGGTTGCGGACATAAAAAAAAATAATGTTTTAACACTGATGTTGTTTAGTAGAGTGATACATTCACACTCGATTATCTGACTGACAAAAAAGGAAGCACATAATAATCGAGACATGGTTATGATATGACAACAGACAAAAAAACATTTATATACAAAAAATAAACATGTATGTGACATGACAGATCTGTCTGTTCTGTTTCTACTGATCATTCATGATCTACTTTCACTAAACACATTACAGTTGTAAACTGTTGGTTTCCAACCAAATAATTTGGACCGTTCAATACAAGACCGTGAATATTATAATAAAAGATGTGGTAATTTTTGGAGTCGCCCCCCTTCCAAATACAATATATAAAAATATTTTACCTGCTCACTTAGAGAAATCAATAAAAGTTAAGTGAAAGGATTATTAAATTACTCTAGTTAATAAACAGCATGAAACAGCTCAGATATTCAACAAATTACACCGACTGAAATAGATTTGTCAATCGAAAGTGAACTATAAATTTTGTTTCTTACTGCTAAATAATTTTAAACACTTGATTGATGATTGTATTTAGCTGTATTCAATAAACTAGAATACTCTAGTTAAGTCTTAGATGAATTAATACTGTCAAGTCTGAAATTTGGTAAGAATTACTAGATTATTATTAAATATTCTGACTGAAGTGAATGTAAAGGAAACAAGTTACCAATGTAATCATATGTAAACCAAGTAGTCTATAAATTTCTGAATTGATCTATTGTAACTTCTACAAGTTGAAAAACTTAGATTTTGTCTTGTAGCTGATTGTCAGATCAGTGTTCTAAAGATTGAAATTTTCAACTCTTTCATCGTCTTCATTCACTCTTAATAAAAATGTTCGTTCATAGTAATCATTCATACCGAAAATATTTTATGGTTTACATCATGGACTTATCTCAGTTAACCACTGAGAGCTAGTAGACAACGGACAGTTGTTTTACTTAAGTATAGGACATGCGTCACATACACTATCGCATATACCACACACTTGTTGATGAAACAAGGACCTTCAAACCTTTCACCGAGTGATAAGCCTTAAAACCAAGGGTTTGTAGTATTTCGTATAATTACACGTCTACGCTTAACATTTGGACAGATAAATTATTCTAATCTTTCTATCTATTATGTCATCCACACATTTGTTCTTTTCGATTACTCACGTGTAAACGTGTTTGTTCTTGACACATGTACAGATGACATTACCTATGTATCTATACACTTGTATTTTTTCCATGCTTATAAATGTTAAGTCACGTTTAATGACATTGAATAAGTCGATCTGACTTCTCCGATTTGCATCTCTTATCATCTATCCACATTAATGGATGTATGAAATATACTTATTCAAAATCACTCTCATAGTTGACTTATTTTAACACAATGTTCACCAAGGTAATCAAGTTAATTTAGGAACTATTTTTTATTATTACTCTTCTATATCAAACGGATTGAAAAATGACTATTAAAACACCCAATGGTTTACTTTTTCAACTTCAGTTAATTCGTAGTATTGTGCAACCGTCTTTTAATACAGTTATTAGGTAACCGTCTCACACTTAACATGGTTGAACTCCAATGATCATGACTTCTCTTTATAACTCCCATAATTACCTCTAAGTAGTTGTCTAACTGTTATTCACACTATTAAATTCAATACCATACACTCCTCCCATTGAACCTTTATCAATTATTTTAAACTATTCATTTGTTTCATGATACAGGTTTTAACAAAAGAAACCGGTGAACCAGCTTCAGCTGAACTTGTTCGTAATGTTATACGTAATTGTTTAAGAAATGCAGCTGTATTGAACTATGAACGAATTTCTGAATATGTTATGATTGAAGGTAATTTAAGATTTTATATTTAATTATATAAGCACAATTAATTAGTAAAGAGAGTTGGTTTTAGAGGACCCTAGGACATTTTCTATACGGTCCATTTTGTACATCTTTATAAATGCATAACTAAAAGAGTGAACTAGATTTATTTTACCCAATTGAGATAAGATCATGAAAATTCATCTACTGTTTGTTTCATTGAATTTTTTATAAATTGACCTCTTGACTGTCTCATCATTCCATCATTTGGGTAAGAAATCTAAGAATTAAATCTTAATCTCTAAACTTCATTATCCAAGCTCGATATTTAACCAATATTTCCAGGTAATTGTCATTTTTCACAGATATCGCTATGATTGTCTGAAATTTAGGGAATTATTCTCTTAACAGAAGACTTGCCGATTAACTTAGAATACCTAAATGGTGTGATTTTGTTTAATGAAGATTCTGATGAAAATCTAATCATCTGATCTCCTTGAGTAACAAAGCAAGTATTTTTGGGATGCGTTTCACTCTTGCTCTAGGACTGGTCATTGTCAACGCCTGGACTAATGATAGAGACAGGAGTATTTGAACATATTAACCACTTCACTTATCATGAAAGTTCTACCAACCCCGGTGAGTTGATGTCTTATTATATCTAAACGTGGATTCAGAAAACCCCATTAGGTTTTGCCAACTTACGTCACTTGTGGCGTAGGTTGTATGTGCATCTGTTAACTAAGGGGTGAGTATACTACTCGGCTATCCACTCTATAATAATCAGTGGGTGTGAAACATGATCTTTTAAAAACCAATACACAAGCTGACTGTAGATTTTCATCACTGTTAACTTCGATGAATTGCTCGTGTATAGTTACTGATGAATAGATAATGTTGAGGTTAGACACGCTCAGAGTAACAGATAAAGATGGCACATCAGTTAATAAAGTTGCAAACTTTACTCGAACAAGGAAGTTGAGATATATATTGCGCATATACAATCATTAATTACACCAATCACCCATATTTGTTAGCTGAAGAGTAGGCTACAAGAAAACTAGTTGCAACCATGTCAAACGTGGTATCAGTCAATGAAATTATTGGTTGTTGAACTGACCTATGTTGGTAGGTGCAGACTACCTGTTTGAGGTTCTCAGAATTATTGCGATCATTTGTTGGACACACTGAGCGACACGACTCGGAATGGAAAATAATTGAGCAGATGTGTTTCCTCTATATTATACCCTAGACTATGAGCTTTGGAACCATATCCTCAATTGTTAGTCTTTATCACTATCGTTTATGCTGCATTATTTTGATTTATTCCCTATGCGTCTTTTCAATTTTTTACCCTCTTCCTAATTTGACACAGAAACCTGACCCAACAAATAGATGTGTAAGGCTCTAGATTGATTTGCAAGTTTTATTTAGTTATTGTTTTCAATACTCGTTCCCATGAAATCAGCTGGCAACCGACATTATAGTTATTCCATCGTATCATTGTTTGTTTATCTGCAGACTTATCTATATTCAATTGAAAATTTAAAGTATGTTAGGGAATTGTTCATTGCCCTTCAAAATTGTTCGTGTGATTTTTTCAGTTTATTATGAAACTACTAGAACATAGATTGAGTAGTCCAAAAATAATCGCTTGATTAAATTGTTAAATTGAAATACAGCCATATTAATAAATGTTGTTACTAATTTTTCATAATGTCTGAAATGAATTGTATAAGTTGGTGGATGGATATGGACTACCGATATACACTTAGTTAAACACTGTGCTAGTTATTTTTCTGTCACTATTACAAAGTATTTACATTATGCATACACATAGTCTTCGATTATCCGTTTGCATCTTCCGGTGTGTTCTGCCATCTGTACTATCTTCTCGTCTGGTCTCCACGTATTCTGTCTACTTCGTACTTTGATATGCTGAAACTATTCAATCCGACAGACAACTTTTTTGACTTTGAAGCCACGTTACACCATATACTAATTACAAACAATCCTTTGAGTAGCGTCAACTACAGTATGAATTAGATAGCCGATTATACTTTATATTATATATCACGTTAAACAAGCCTACTAAAAAGAATAATTTGACTTTTGAGTTAACAATTTTGAGTCTTAGCACATTATTCTAATACACTTATCAGTTTTGTCTTATAATCCATTATTGGTAATTACAGAATTATTCCAAACGCATTCAGTTTAATAACAATTGGCTAAATTAATTATAAGATTGATATGTTGTAACTTGATTTATCCCACAACAAAATAGTAAAACGTTTAGAACTAACCTTTTTACAACATCGGTATTTGTATTGTCAGCTGAATCACGAGTTAATCACAGTTACTTTCACTAATTTGAAGACTAGGTAATCCAAACGAAATGTTTGTCAATCGTGTAAAGCATTCTGTTGGTAAAGTCCGATAGTATGTATGATTAATTATGTTAGTTCTGGACGTGTTATTCCAAAACAATGTTTAGATATACACATCCAATAAATGTTTTCTGAGTGATTTCTCGAATTGTTGAAAGAGTTTTCAGGGGTTATTGGTGGCATTTTCTAATATTAATTGATTAAAATGAAACAAGAATGAAACGTGATACCACTACAATACTATACAATATGTTAAAGCCTATATCTACATTAGCTAGAAAATGTACAAACCGAATGGCCCAAAACTAGCACGTTAATGTTATGAAATTGTTATATCCCAATAAGAATAATGAATGGTAGTTTTTGGGATCCATTTATGCACCAATACTATACGTATATTTTTATCGTATAATTGTTAATCAACTAAACTATTCATATTCATGTCTCTCTTATCACAAGCTTTATTTTAACCTATAAACTGTTATTATACGATTTACCATTCTTGAATTATTCCCTGTCTGTTAATCACTGCCCCCTCATTCACAGCCACATCTGGCTAATTCTTGTACAAATGTTGTTTCATATTTTATTGATGCGTGGTGGTCTGTTTGATTAGTATATAAACAGAGTATGGTTGAAATAAATTGATTCATATCACAGAGGCTCGGGTTGGTGTTCTGAACTTAACTAGCTGGACTAGGCTGGAAGCAGGACCAATCAGAACTCTAGGCTGCTCGCACGTGTTTTACGCATCCTTGGTCCGATCGGCAGTCACAATTTATATCAGAAATACAAGAATACATGGTTAATAGTACGCTAACATCTATATGATGACGTTGTTTTTTAAGTAGAAAGATCTTCATGCATTAAAACATCGACTAATCATCATGACACTAATAATTAAAGCTTTTTTTTAAGGTACATCAGTACTCTAAACGATGAATGATTTTTAAACGTTAAACCAAGAATGATATTTACCAATCCACCATTGCGTAATCATATTTTTAAAACTCTTATCGTAGCTTAGTTACTAATCTGCCTTTGTTATCTAATTCAATAACTGGATAGTATTATTTATTTGTTTATTTATTTATTACAGTCGTTTCTGGACCACGAGTTAAAAGTAAGCAACCATTTTTAAACTTATTTTTTGAATGAAACTAAACAAACTACTCATTAGTATTCATTATTCAATTTGTGGTTTTTTTGATTGATCAATCAAACTAAAATTCCATTTATTTTTAAATAATCTAAAGTTGGAAAAATGACTGATACTTTTTCATTGTTTGCTTAACTATTACAACAAACTATTCCCTAAAATTATCTACCGCATGGATTAGGATGAATTTAAGTTGAAAGTCAATCAAACATCGTTTTCATAGGTAGGTTATCTGCCTTATAACCATTCATTATTATTCAATTGAACCTCAACCTATCATAGTTAAAGCCCATGAAGTCTTTTGATTCATTTGAATCTTAGATGATCAGTAATACAACTTAGTATATTTATTTCAATTAGATATGGTATTCAAACTATTTGAATCTAACCATCTAACTTGAATGGAATGATGTTATTCAGTAGTATAATTTGTTAGTACATAAATCAGTTTGTTATCAGTAATCCTTGTCTATAAACTGTATTGTGAAACTGTTACAATATTGTTCGGAGATGATAATAAAAACACCTTAAATAACCCATATTGTTGACTTGTTTGATTCTTTTCTTTTTCTTTATTCATTTAGACACAAATAAAGAAAGCAGAAAAATTCATGAAATGTATCATTTAGCTGAACTTTGTATTGAAGTACTTAAACAAAATGAACAACATCACTCTGAGGTGAATAATACATTCACATAACATACATAAGTTTTTCCTTTTTTAAATGTGAACTTGAATTGTTACATGCATATTCATTGTAGTAACTTCATATCGAGTTAAATATGTTTGTTATCATTTGAAGCTAATGAAACGTTTGAAGCAAAGATGAATAATGGCTAGCAGTGGAATCCAGTATGACGCGGATTTCGCCCTATTTCGGACTTGCAGCTGGATGCACCTGCATCTCAGAGTTGATGTTCACTGTAGGACTCAAACCCAGTAACGTTCGTTTCAAACGTCATCACGTTATCCACCTAGCTACTGAGTCCTGATAGCCATTTGCTTGTGCAATGAGGTGAAGTTGAAATTCACTTGGTACTGTTTACTTGAATCTTCCCATTAATGTTCAGGACTGCAAGTGATCAGTCTATTATTGGCATATGTGCATACTGTATTACCGCGATATTGCCTTAATTCAAAAGCATTATAAGCAAAGATGGATAGTATGTCCATATGCCAATAATAGACTGATCAATTGCAATCCTAAACATCAATGGGAAGATTCAAGTAAACAATACCAAGTGAATTTTTTTTTAGAACAACACATATAAGCGAACAATTGTTTTCATATAGATCGTCATCAGGCTTTACTCTAGTATACATGAATATTCATATATATTAGAGTAAATCCTGATGACGATCTAATTGAATTTTTTTTTAATTTTAACACATAGATATTGTTACAAGGAGACACCAAATGCATATGCGCCACACAGATCTCATTCGATATGTGCGAGGGCTGTATTACTGCCCGAGTGCCCAAACCGAAGCAGGTGGTTTTCTTAGAGGGCCACACCCGGAGCCTTCCACCTGAAGGTCTGATCCACAAAGCAGTGGAGCATCGTGAGGAGATGCAGTCACATGGTAGCCAGTGACCGACCATTTGTTCTCTCAGGATACTGGATCCCATGTGCACCATTGGTTTGGGATCCGGTTAAAGCTCCGGATATTCGTTTTTCGTCCTCTCATTTTCGTAAACAACAGTGAGTAGGACTTCTCTGGCAGAGGCTATATACATGTGGCTATGTGAGAGCATTTGGAGAGGGAGAGCGGACTGTCTCCACTCTCGGCAGTACCAGGGCATTTGGGGGCCTAAGTGAATTTAATAAAACGTTTGTCTTGATGCCTACATCCTAATGTGCTCTGTTTAAAAGTTGTCTCTATTTTTGATTGAAATTATTTTAGTCATTCTCCTGGTTCAATGATTTATTTGTTGAGCATACAGAGAATTTTTGGTATTTATTTCAAATGGATCTGTTTGAATTATTGGATAGATTACCAGAAGATTGTTGGGAAGTGTTCGATTTATTTCAATTATTGAACAATTATCTATTAAACGATTGTAAGTTAATTGAATTAAGAATTAATATCTGATGATGACATATAATTCATATATATATTAGCTACCTCTTAAAAGGCTCAATAAGAATCAGACTATATCATAAACTGATTGATGTTAAGAACTAATGATCATAATGAATTTCAACATTGTACACTAAAAGTATCGTATTCTAATGGTACTATATTTGATCACACATAATGTACTGAACGAGAACACAAGTGAGGACAATTAAATGCATTTGAACACACAAATTACAGAATATCTTAGTAAAATCTGAGAACCATACAATAAATAATTCATTTACAAATTATCAATCACTTGTCTCAGACTTCACTATTCCTTCGTTTCCACAACAATCATTCACTATTCTCGTTCTATTTCCTTTGATTTTCTTAAGCTTCTGCTTCCAGGTATTTCACTTTTGATTGGTGATACATACTACTTAGTAGCACACACTATAATACGTTTGTGGGTGTTCATTATGAAAAAGTCCCAACTAAGAGTTCAAAAGAAATATATTCAGTTCTTTTTAATCTCTAATTGCTACTAACTGGTACAAATGTTTAATAAAGATTATATTCAGTTGTATTTAAGGGAATCCTTGCAATACTAATCTTTTTATATTGTAAAACTTTCTAAATTTTTTCTTTTTTAACAGCTAATTTATCTAATGGTCGATTTCATTATGAATTAGCTAATCGTTTTACACCATTGGTAGATCGATATATTGGATTAATGGCGGATTCTATTGAACAAGCATTAATAGAGGGATGTAAGAATGAACGTTGGATTCCAGCCTCGAAATTAGACAGAAATGAAGGCAAGCTATGTATTGTTATTAGTAATTCATTTTAATGCACTTGATTGCTTTTTACAACCTGAAATAATACGTTACTGTTAAATTATTGAAATTCATGAAGCGCTAGACAGTTTGTTCAAACTGTTTAACAACTCTTGAGGACTGCATGGTAACGGTCTCACTAAAGGTTGAACCTAGGACTTCCAGCATTTAATTAAAGTTAAAAATGTGAACTTCTAGGTATTAATTGCTTAAAGTTATCTTTCTCTATGGGCCACTTACACATAACTATGCACTGCTAAGAATTCTAAGACAAAGAAGAAATGGCTGTTCATATTGAGTAAAAGCTTTACTTTTTTTCCAAATAGGTACAAGTGAACTTCGTATCAATAATATTTCACAACATAAAGCTGAGTCTTTATTAAGTGTTCACAATTCCTTAGCATCGTTTACTAAAATGGAAGATATTGGAAAACCCAATGAAACCTCATCAATTAATATACCAGCTTTTCACCATACCGATATTGAATGGAATTCGTCTAATTGTTCAACTAAAAATATTCAGAATAAAGAGAAATCAGCAACACCACAAACAACAACATCAACTGGTTCAGAATTATATCGATATTCATCGGGTAATTTCAATATGATTGGAAGTCAAACATGCCAAACCGTTATTGAACTTTTATGGAGATTATATAAATTAAAAAAATTTATTCATGAATTAAATTGGCCTCAATCGGTTTTAGCTGAAGCATTGGATGAAAGGGTGTGCATACTATGTGCACAAATGCTTCGAGAAGTTGTAAAACGGTTAGTTAAATTTTTTGTATTTGGTTTTGCTTATTATATATGTTGTTGATGCAGATTTATGAAGATCAGTTTAATTTGTAGATTGCATCCGTCACAGGTTGATCGTTTAGATGCTCTCTGTCTTAATTCAATGTGAGCGAGTAGCGAATTATGTCGATGGAATATAGATCCAAATTACTTCGTATATGTTTTGTCGATTTAACTAGTTTAAAACAATAGAATATAAAAGGTCGAATAAAAGTGTTTTGGATGTTTATATTTTATACATCCGTTTCGACAGATTGACGAAGAGATGAGAGGCGGAGCTGATATTTGTGTCTTCTCAAAGTACCACTCAATACAATTATTAATAAAACTCAAAATAGTGGTAGAAAGGAGAAAGACATAGGATAAGATAAACCTGAATTAATATGCTACCCTAGTAAACAACATAATTGCTTCCAACTTGATCACTCCTTCAAATAATGGCCCATAAATGCCCTGTTGCTGCCGTGGAAGTGGAGAGTCAGCTCTTCCTCTCGAAATGCTCTCACATAGCCACACGTATACAGCCACTTCCAGGGAAGTCCTACTCACTGCATTCTCGCGGCATTACTGTTGTTTACGAAATTGAGAGGACGAAAAGTGAATGTCCGGCGCTTTAACCGGGTTGATGAACATGGAGGATCCACCCAGAGGAGTTTGAAAACTCTGATTCCAAACCAATGGTGTACATGGGCTCCAGGATCCTGAGGGAACTAATGGCGTATGAACATTTTGTTGATAACCGGTTACCGTGAGACTGCATCTTCCAACGTTGCTCCACTACTTTGTGGATTAGAACTATAGGTCAAAGATTCTAAATATGGCCCCCTAAGAAAACCACCTGCTTCTGTTTTGACACTCAGGCAGTATTCCAGCTCTCACACAAATCAATTGGTGAAGTGTGGTGCATATATATTTGATTCCTCCTTGTACCAATATCCATGTGTTTAAATAAATAAATGACTGAATAAATAATATATGAACTGTCTCAGTCATCTACTCTCATTTCCCATACTAGGATGAAACAGTTGTCTTGTACTCCATAGTTTCAATGATACTTTAAATGAGATAACATTGATCGATTCATGATCTGAATAAAAAACTTAACAATCTCCACAACCTCATACTGATAATTAGATTATTGATAATTTGTTCCACTTAACTGATCCTATGTCTTAGTCTATCATAGCATTTATGTTGTAAATTAATGGGTTTACTTTGTAATTATAGATTTTTCTCAATGATGATTTAATTTTTATTTACAGTACTCTAATAGAACTAGAATCATTAGTTAGAAAATGTGCCAAAACTGTGGATCTAATTCTTCCATTAGAATGTTTTACAATGTTAAATACAATTAGTGAATTAAGAGCTCATTTATTTTCATTATGTCATCCAACTGATCCAGTAAATATGGTAATCAATAATACTAGTAATAATATTACACGATCACATCGTCAACCAGTTAGGAATGCAGTAAGATACATTTTATTACATTTCATATATTTGTTTCCATTAATTTATATTTTATTTTGAATTATTGATTGCTTTTAAATATAGAGAATTCCCAGAGGTTACTGATATTTGAGCATAGATACCTTCAAAATATTACTCATGCATGTTTCAACCATCGAGAGCACTAGATAAGGATTGGAAATAGGTTGAAGCGGTGATGATGGTTCATTGAATTAGGTGGCTGAGTCACGTATTCTGTGTATAAAATCAGAGCCTATATCAGGTTGTAACGATAGCTAGTTTAACAGTAGGTTGGAAGAAAGCTTACTTACCTACTTACTTTCTTACAGCTGTTAACCCTCATGAAGGAGCATAGTTCGCTCACAAGGATTCTCCTACCAACTCTGTCCTGGGCTATCGTTTCCAGTTGTTTCCAACTTATATTCATTCTTTTGATGTCTGCTTCCGATTCCCAGAGAAATGTGTTCCTTGGTAGAGATATACATAATCCAGTCAGTCACCAGAAATAAAGAGAAAGGAGGAGAGTAAGCAGCCCTGTCTGAAACCGATCCTCACTTGAAATGCGTCCTCAACTGTCCTCTATGCATGACTTTACAGCGTATTCTGTCGTATGAATTCCGTAGGATATTGACGATTTTCTCAGGTACTCCATAGTGCTGAAGAAGGTTCCGTCAGGTTCTTTTAAACACGTTGTTAAATGCTTTCTCATGGTCAGGGAATTTAATGTATAGTGGCAAGTTCCATTCAATTGACTATTCAACGAGGATCCGTAGTGTCATGGTTTGGTCTGTGCAGCACCAATCCTTATGGAATCCGACATGCTGACCTCGAATTTAGACGTCCACTGAATCTTTCATCTGGTTCAGCAACACTGTTGGAAACCTTTCCTAGTACTGATAGTAGTATGTTACCTAACACTTGCTCAGATCATTCTTTGGTATCTTGATGAGGTATCTTTCAAGTTTGTCGGCACTTGTTCTTCCTCCCAAATATTTTTAAACAGAACATAAAGTATGTTTGCAGTTACTTCTGTGTGTGACTTTTGTGCTTCGGCTGGTATATTGTTAGGTCCTGCTTCTCTCCCACTCTTGGTTGTCTGATGTCCATCCTGATTTCTATGATCGTTGATGAAGTGACATCTATACGGAGGTCTGTGTGTGCTTCCTCGATGTCCGTTAAGTTCAGTGGGGCTGGTCTATGGAAGAAAGTTAGGGACAGTCGAATCAAGACATGAAATTGTTGGATGAAGTTATTGATTGTTGAACTGGGCCGTGTACGTAGGTGCAGATTACCTGGTTCGGGTCTTTGGGATTATTTCAACGAATAATTGAGTACTTTAGGCAACATAGCTCAGGGTAGTTTACAGCATCACAGGTACTTTCACTTTCTTTATGTCTTTAGATCCCAAATTTCTAAATTATCTTATGGTTTTTTTAAATAATATTCTACGAATTTGTAATTTTAGAACCGTATCTTATATACCTAATCTTTTTTTATTACCACTAATACTGCAATTAATCTTCTGTTTGTTTTGACGATTTCATTTCGCTATGCTGATGTGGTGTGATTTCATGAACGAATGGGAATATTTTGTATATTACTGGCTGACTTACAGATAATGATATCTAGTAGTGAATGTAGAAAGTTGTAAAATTCGATAAATAGACGTTGGGATCAACTTGATTAACAACATTACCGATATCATTTATTTATTTTGAAAATTTCAATTAGTTATGGGATCACATTAGATACTATAGTTTAATTGATGGACTCACCTTAGATAGACAGATGTTGAAATCAAAAATATACCGGACGGTTTTTATATACTAGTATGATTCTATTCAGAAAAGTGCATCCACAACCTTACCATAAGTCCAAACACACTTAAAATCATACGAAATAATTGAATTGGTTAATTCTGTTGAATCTCCATGCATTTTCAAGTTCATATCGTTCGGAAAACTGCTATTACTCTTCAACAATATGTACACTCATAATAGTTTAAATCTGGAACTTTCAGATCTTTCAAATAACACTAATCAGTTAATATGCAGTATTTGAAATTTCCTTACACCTTAAATATAGGGTAACTATTAACCGACGTGAAATCAATAAGTAACTTTCTTATGCTACTATTCTTTGTATACACAAACAATAGTTTCCGATTAAAACAGTGATAATTTAGTTATGAATCTAGTCATTAGAGAAAACAACGATTTTGTTAGCACAGATACATTTTTACTTTCTAGTTATTAATGATTATCCGATTTAAATTGAACAGTGATAAAGTTCACTGTTGAATTTCGTATTTTACATTGACTGATTCGATTTAAACAACCACTGAAAACCAAGAAACATGTATGTGTTAAATATACACATTTTCAGTAGTTGAATTCATGAGTCGATTGAAGCTAGACCACCATGGAAAACCTAGAAGCACTAGACGGCCGTTTCATCCTATTATGAGACTCACCAAGTAGTACGCATCCCCGATCCCGCCTCGTGAGATTCGAACCCAGGATCTGTTGATCTCGCGCGCGAACGCTTAATCTTTGAACCACAGAGGGGGCATCCAATGGCGTTAATGTCTAACTTCAACTAATCGATGTCAACGATGAGTTACCATCTCAAAATAGACTCGGTTGAACTCCACTAGTCACTGCTTCTCACTCGAGCTCTAATTTCGCTAGGCAGAGCCCTGGATGTTCACTGCTATGAAGTCCCACAACAGGAAGAAATGGCCGTCAAGTGCTTCCAAGTTTTCCATGTTAGTCTAGCTTGATCTGACTCATGATCTCAACTAATAAAATTACTATAATATCCACAAAAAAACCCCTTCTGATACTATTCATTTTTTTATTACTTTATTTACAGACTCAATTACATATGGAAACTCAAGAATTCTTTGAAAGTGTACAGAAAAATATGATGGTTATCATTATTGATCATTGTATGATTATTTTAAATGGTGTATTGAAGAAGTTAACAAGATTTGATGAAAATAAGCTATTTTCATCGATTCTTGTATTAACTGTAAGCAAGGAGTTTATATATGAATTTTATTGTTATTCTGTTTATTTATCTTACGATTTATATGCTAAACAGCATCAGCTACGATTTGTTTACAAAATGACAAGACTGTTGGTAATCGATCATTTCGTGATACATTTATAGTTTAACATAGATCGCTTCTATACCATACTTTAGATAATCTGGGGGGGTGTAAAGGTTTATTTACTACATGGAAACTTTTACCAATCGATAATTCTTAAGATTGTAACCATTATACAAGGATAGCTTTCTTTTGACTTTAGACACTTAACAAGAACAGCCCAACTTGTCTCGAATAACATAAAAGTTTCTCTTCATCTGTAAATAGTTTAAGTTACGAAAAACAAAATGTTTAGAAACAGAGTTTTTGCATACTTTATTTAATGAGATTAAACTGGAGGTGTTAAAACGTAAAGGTACAAGTTAGATTTATAAACTGGCTAATCAGTTTGGCATCGTCTATAATACTGATTAAATGTTCTCAATGTACACCTCATATTATTCGATCACACGGTGATACATTCTTTACATGTTTCAGTATACTAATTATCATCATAGTTTGCTTTGCGTGAATCTATGCAGTATGGATTAATAGATACAATTCATATTTCGATCTTCTATCGACATGATGATGAGAAGTTCATTCTCATTGGTCACTTCATAACCTTCATTTTCACCATGAAATAACTGTTCGCTATCTGAAATGCTACTCAAGCATATTATCTTAATTGGCTTTTTTCTAAAAACATGAATACAATTTTTAACTAAATTATCACTGTTCAATCAACTGGCAAGTAGTCTTGTCTTCTGAAATACATATGACTAAGATTTGACAAATTTTTTTTTAATTTTTCGTCTAAAGATATACATAAACAATTTTTCATTCATATAGAAACCAAATGATGAAGAAGGTCAAGCCTATGGAACTTTTCTTCATATAAATTTACAAAATTTAAGTGAAAATTTAGTTGACGAAGTTTCTATGCTTTCTATGTTAGAAGTGAGTTGTTTGATGTTTTGTTCAGTTTTTTATTTATTTATTCGATTGTTAAAACTACTAATGATTACCATAAATTTGAGAAATGCAAAGTAAGTTAAATATTATCAGAATGGGCTTTGTAGAGATTTTTAGAAATTTCACTGGTTGTGAAATCATGAGTCAATTGAAGCTTGATCACCATGGAAAACCTGGAAACACTGGACGGCCGTTTCGTCCTAGTATGGGACTCCTCAGCAAAGCGCATCCACGATCTCCTCGTGGATTGGTTGAAGTTAGACATTAACATCGTTGGATGAAGGCTCAGTGGTCTAGTTGGCTAAGCGCCTGGCACGAGACTGAATCTCGCGGGGGGCGGGATCGTGGATGCGCACTGCTGAGGAGTTCCATACTAGGACGAAACGGCCGTCCAATGCTTCTATGTTTTCCATGGTGATCTAGCTTCAATTGACTCATGATTTCAACCAGTAAGTTGAATAGTTTTGCATGGAGCATTTTGTTTTTGTTTTCAAGGCACTTTCATAATAAGAACTCACAGGAGGTGGAGAACGGTTTTACAGTGGAAGATATTAAACAGTTGTTCTATTTTACTTCCAGATTCTAATCTAGTATGCTCCGACTATCGAACATTTTGCTCTCGAAGCAAATCGATTTCTAGTGGTTTATGTTTACAGCTGTGATCAATATTCGTTGAATGGATGTCTTGAATTTTCTTTACACTTTACTAAGTCGTTAAAATATTATATAAATCGTTTCCACATCTATACAAACAGTTTTGACTTCTTTATACAATAAGTCAAGTATTCAATTTTGAAGATGAATCCATTGATAGATCTGAGAAGCTTCGTGGGTTAAGGTGGCTGAAGCATACTTTTTGAATACTTTATTTTTCTCACTAATTTATAAGTTCATTATAAAATTCCGGAGGGTAACCAAGCTAATATATCACATCAGTCTATGAAGTCAATAGAAAATCCATACTTCGCGATTAAATTTCATGATATAATCGTAATTTACGATCGAAAGATGATCTTAAGAAATATTGTCACAAAACAGTTTATTCTCATAGAAATCTAAGGTTTAATCATAAGCCATGCTTTTCATTTGATGAATTCATTAACTCGTCCTAAACTATTTATAGCTTTAAAGAAATCAACTGAATTCATTTCAATTTGAAATCATGAATTCATAGAAATGCATTTTGCTATACATATTTATAAATGATTCTTAATTGAATAGTGAAAAACTGTGGAAAGTAATATTTGTGTCATCAAAATATTTTGATGACAATCAAGATTGTACAATGATGGAACCAGATACTGTCTGGTAAATCTCTTTCTCGTTACTAATATAGGGGTTGTGGAGATTATTAAGTTTTTGGTTGAGATCATGAACCGATTGATGTTAGACCACCTGTGGAAACCTAGAAGCACTGGACGGCCGTTTCGTCCCACTGTGGGACTCCCCAGCAGTGCGCATCCACGATCCCGCCTACGGGATTCTAACCCAGGGTCTTCAGTCTCGCGCACGAACTCTTGACCTACTGGATCAATATCAACCAATCCACTAAATTGCGCGACCATCTTCTATTGTACTGAGGTAGATACCTGTCTCTACCCGACATGGATTAGCTCTTTTGGTCACGGCTTCTCACTAGGACTCCGAGAATTCCCTCACGAAACTAGTCACTAGTGAGCACATGTGGTTACTAGTATAGGGGTTGTGGTCTCAATCAAGTTGTGATTTCAATCAAAATCTTTTCCGTTAACCTAATTATTACACTTCAATGAACAGTAACTTTGTATATTTAAAGAAGAGATTATTTTTATTGAACCAAGAAAATGTTAATTGGAATTTATTGTATAAATATTATAAGTCTGATTATTTTTTTAAACCATTTGATCAACTCCATGGAATGAGAATACCATAACATAAACTACCTATTACATAGCTTTAATCGGTCTGCTGATTAGATTGAAGTTTTCATTGCCTATTTAAAAGAAAATGTGTATATCAGAAGGGGTTTTGTGGAGATTGTAGTAATTTTAATAGTTGAGATGATGAGTGAATTGAAGCTAGACTAACATGGAAAACCTGGAAGCACTGGACGGCCGTTTCATCCTGTTGTGGGATTCCACAGCATTGTACATCCACGATCCCGCCTAGCGAGATTTTAAACCCTGGACTTATCGGTCTCACGCGCGAACGCTTAACCTCTAGACCACTGAACCGGCATCCAATGGTGTTAATATCTAAATTCAACTGGTCCACGAAACTGAACGACACATCCAACATTGTCATCAGCGATTTACTATCCCAGAACTGACTAGTAGGTCCTAGGTTCGAATCCCGTGAGGCGGGGTTGTGGATGCTCACTCCTGAGGAGTTCAACAATAGGATGAAACGGTCGTCCAGTGCTTTAAGGTTTTCCACGGTGGTCTAGCTTCAATTGACTCATGATCTCAACTATTGAAAATGTGTATATTTAACAAATAGATGTTTAACATTTAAGGAGTATTATTGAAGTATTAAAAGAAATAAAGTAAATAGGTCTCATTAGATCTATGGATGGAGATGAAATAAAACTATATTAATAATTCTTATTCAGTAAAATATTACATACTGAGTAAATCTGTACAGTCATAAATTATTACATCATAAAGAAGTAGACTATTGATTAAAATAAATTTCCAATTGAAACGTCACAGATTTAAGCATCATTCTATTTCTGTAACGTTAAACAACACATTAAAATACTAGCCATTACAAAAAGTGTAAGTTTATGCTATAACTTGTGAACCTGTGTGTCCTGTATATTGGATAACGCAACGACACCGCCAATCAGAGAGCAGCGAACTATCGATCGAACACGTGACGCGTAAAACACGTTCGAGCAGCCTGGAGTTCTGATTGATCCTGCTTCCCGCCTAGACCAGCCAGTTAAGTTCAGAACACCAACCCGAGCCTCTGCAATATAAATCGTTATATTTCAAACATACTGAGTTTATATACCAATCAAACAGACTACAACGTACCATAAAATAGAAAATAACAATTGTACAATATTTGGCCAAAAGTGGATATGAATGAGGGAGGTAGTGATTAACATACAGGGAATAATTCAAGAATGGTAAATCGTATAATAATAGTTCATAGGTCAAAACAAAGCTCATAATAAGTGGGAGATGAATATGAACAGTTTAGTTACATGACAATATACGATAAAAATATACTCATAGTATTGGTGCATAAATGGATCCCCAAAACTACCATTCATTATTCTTATTGGGATATAACAGTTTAAGTAGAATACACAAATATATACATGATTAGTTCGTTACAATATATATAATATACGTAATGGAGTCAGTTAGGAATGAAAAATAGAGTACTTGAAATCGAACAAGATACTTCTGATTGACAATTGTTTTAATAAGAACAATCCTGTAACTACATATTATGTTTATCAGCCATGTTTGATCATATAGATTCAACATTATTCTACCATTAGTCCTAATAAAACTCTATATATTGATAAAGAGATATGATGTAACAGTGAACGAATTCAATACGATATTGATATGTATTAATATGAACTAGTTTACTGTAGTATTTTTCACACAATTAAACTGTCTATAAATTTGATTCCTATGAAATTTAATTATCTATTTCACTGATAGATATGGTATACACGTCAAATGAAAGCTATTTACGATTGGTTAATTCAACGTAAAAGTATTCTACTTCATCCACATCAAATTAAATGTCTTTCAATTATTGTTAAAGTATGTGAACTATTTTGAATTATATTGAAGGTTTTTCTTTGAAATTATATTAAAAGAGAAAGATCTTACTATTTGAAAAACTCAATCGAAATAATTCCTGAGATATCATGAATTGATCTCCCAGTTATAAACTCATGTTCTTCTGGTTCTATCGATCACGTTCCAATGTAGTTATTAGTCTAGCCGAATCAAAACTAAAATGTATTGCGTGTATCATATTTAAATGTACATGGATGATGAAAGCACGGTAATAGTACGTTAAGAGAGATAAATAGTATCAAGAATGAAAGATTGATGAATTGTAATGAATTTGTGAACCTTAAGTTGTAAGCAACCCTTTATCACGTAGAGGTTTATATATCCGGTTTCACATTAGGAGTATTGACAATATTCGTTTGCGAAAACTGAATTAGATGTGAACGGGTTTCAAATCTACGAACCATCGATTAAAACCAAGAGCTTGACCAATAGGTTGCCATATCACTTTCCGTAGATGGATCTCCAAGCTAAACTTTACATTTTTTTGTAAGAGTTTGTTTGTTCCCATTGTTGATATTCAAGACTACAATTAACCGGCTTCTTTTGGTATATGTGTCTTGAGTAAATCGTTCAGATATTGTCATTAAGCCAAAAGTTGTTATTAAGTTGGAAGAAGGAAAATCCAGGATGAGCATTCCATCTGACTTGGTGCTTTCAGTCGGTTGTACCTGGATCCTTGTGTTGACGTCTTCATTGAGACACAAACCCAGCACTTATCGCTTCAAACCCCAATTAACATTGCTTATATGAGTAATAATCTATGGAATCTATTTATATCATGTCCATCAACTAACCATATACTTTTACGTTACTGTTATTTTTTTGCAGAAAATTTTCAGTGCCTTTGAATTACAAGGCTTGCCTAAAAATGTATTAAATACTATTGTATATCAAACAGTTATTCAAAGAATTCAGGTGAGCACGACAACATACAATAAATGTCTCATGATAACAAAATAAATATGAATAATAAATGGTCCATCATAGAGTTAAGTGGTTGAAGATATTCGGTAGAAAACAATGCTGAACCTGTAAAATCGATTGGCACTGATGCTCCCAGTGAGACTAAGACTCACGTGACCCAGTTTTACAATCTGAAACGTAACCACTGAGATATTCCGGCCGCAGCTGACCAATAAAGACTAGATTATTTACAATTGATCGGACACTGAGTAGTGACTAATCAGTTATAGTGCAGTACAGCAGTAGTTAATTTGTAGAAAAAGCAGACAATATGATTGGAATGGAAGAAATCAATGCGGTCCAAAATGAAATATACTTAGTTACAAGTAAATAATTATGGTTTATGACAAATGTCGACCCACTTATCATCAATAATCAGAACCTACAGAAACTTTCTAGCGAGTACAAAAGTTTGTTTCGGAGAGTTAATCAGTATAGGGTTGTGGAGGTTGTTTTTATTGAGACCATGAACCGATCAGTCTTAGACCACCATTAAAACCTGGAAGCACTAGATGACCGTTTTGCCTTGGTATGGGACTCATCAGCAGTGCTCATCCAAGATCCCATACACGGAATTCGAAACTAGGACATACGATCTCGAGCGAACGCTTTACTTCCAAATCACTGATACGGGCATCCGACGGTGTTAATTTCGAGCTTCAAACAATCCAATATACTGCGCGACCATCTTCCATTATCTTCGGTGCGTAACTGTCTCACATTCAACACAATTAAACTCCACTGATCACGGCTTCTCACCATGACTGTGAAAATTACCTCTCAGAGCTAATCACTAGTGAGCTCATGATAACCACAGTACAGGGTTGTGGAGCATCAAATAGTTTATTAGGTTCTATAAGTTAACTTACAAACTGTATTTCAAGATTTAGCGTAATTTAGTAATTTATAATTACGTGACGGTGTCCCATAATATCGCATAGGATAAAAAAATCCGAGATATCAACAAGGAATAAGAAACATTCAGACCAGTAAGCTTAAATTCAGTGGATCGGTTATTTAGTATAAATATACTGACGAAAATAGGAATTAGAATCTAGAGAGGTAACATTGTTCATATAAATAATAATTACACTCCACAGTGAAATCTAGTAAATTGAAATGGATATCAATCAGCAACTGTTATGACCTTGATCTGTCTACTCTAGATTAAGACCTTGACGCAAAAGGCTGACCGGTTTAACCTTGAGGCTAGTACGCGTGAGCTCGAGGTGGAGTAGAAAGAAGAAAACTATTCTATCACCTGATTGGCTGACAAGCACGATAATGAGAGAAGACAAGACAACTGGAACACTATTCATCCTATTCCGATATACTGATTTCCTGTGAATTCCCTGAATTCAGATTAGTGCAAAAAGGTACACGAATGAATAGGTGATTTACCCGACCACAACGTGCAATCATTTGGGAAAATACAAGTATGTCCAAAACTGGGAATAAGAGTAGAAAATGAGGTGCAAAATATTATGTTTAAATTACAATGGTTTCGGAACAAAAAAGGGGTTCGGCAATGAATGATACATCGAACGAAAGCTCATGTTCTGTAGAATAAAATAGGGTCAAAAATAAATGTCAATGTTTTACAAGCTTTGAATAAAATGAAATAACGTCCCGAAAAACTGCTTTCGTAGTTTTTCAGGGCTTCTTGTTTCCCTGTTCACATCAGCAATATAGATAAGATATGAACAACTGATCGGAATGTAAACATTACTCATTATAAAAAGTAGAAGCAAGAATGTCTATCACCAAAAATTAGAAGTAAGATTATGTACACAATGTACATAGGCTGAAAACTAAGCTATTACGTTATAAACAATATAGAATATAGTATAAATATGCATTCGTTCAAAATCCCATAATTTACATTTCACTAAAGATATCAAAATAATAATGACATCAATTAATGATAGAAAAAAAGTTTTACAAGGAATTTTGTAGAGATTGTAGTAATTTGAATAGTTGAAATCATGAGTCAATTGAAGCTAGACTGCCATGAAAAAACACGGAAGCACTGGACGACCATTTCGTCTTGTTAAAGGACTCCTTAGCAGTGCTTCCAAATTTTCCATGGTGATCTAGCTTCAATCGGCTCATGATCTCAACTATTGAGAAAAGAAACAGTTGTACAGAGAATGTAATGCAAAAAAAAGAATCAATGAAATTAATTAATAAGGCTAATCATATGACCAGACTATTAATATCGTTATATGTACCATCAAATCATAGACCTTATGTTAGTAGTAAAATATTTATTTATTTATTTGAACACAAATGCCCTGGTATGGCCGAGAGTGGGGTGGGTCCGCCCACCCTCTCGAAATACTCTCACACGGCCACGCGTATACAGCCTCTACCAGGGAAGTCCTACTCACTGCCTTCTCGTGGCGGGGATGTTGTTTACGAAAATGAGAGGACGAGAAGCGAATGTCCGGCGCTTTAACCGGGTCCCAAACCAATGGTGCACATGGGCTCTAGTACAAATGGTGTATGAACCAATTGTTGGTCACCGGCTTCCATCGGACTGCATCTCCTCACGATGCTCCACTGCCTTGTGGGTCAGACCTTAAGGTCAAAGGCTCGAGGTGTGGTCCCCTAAGATAACCACCTGCTTCGGTTTGGGCACCCGGGCAGTATCACAGCCCACAAGCAAATGATGAACTCTCTATATCTATGAACTCTCTAGTAGTAAAATAAATTCAAATAACTAAATACATTTTCATGATTATTTATATTTTATTCAATAGGTTGAAGAAACAACACAATGTGTTAAAAAAGAAGCTCGATCTAGTGGAAGTTTAACTAGTTCTACAAATCGTAATAAATTATTAAGTAATCTTGGTGAAAGTATAACATCATTCACTGGAAGTCCTATATTTCATCGATCCTAACATATAATGTAGTATTATTTGTTTTTCTTTTGTACTACAGTTAGGAAAACAAGATAAAACAAAAAAAGTAAACAATGTTTTGATGTGCATTTGATTTATTTCTGTATAGTTTTCATGAATTTATTCAATTATTTTATTGTTAATATTGTAAAACAAACAAAAAACACAATCAAGATTGAACAGTAATACACCAAGTCTTTCATTAATTAATTAAAGAGAGAGAGAAAACAAATTATACAGAAATTGTACTATTTTTCTACAAAATAATAAGAGAACATTATACATATAGATATATATAAATAAATCGTATGGATTAATATACTACTTTGTTTATTTTGTAAGTAATAACTGTATTTTATATTAAACAAATTGAATAATAATAATGACAGTTATATGTTTTAAATGAATATAATAAACATATTTTTGTTATATCACGATGAGTAAAAAAATTGTATTTCTGATGTTACGCAACTTAATTTAAGACATCATTCTAAAGAAGTGGCTTAAATTAAGTTACGAAACATCAGAAATATAATTTTTCCCATTATTGGCATGTGTAATAAAAATATGTTTATGATTAATTCAATAACCAACTATTAAGTCTAACCTTGGTGTTGGGACCAAATATATATATCAGATGGTTGATAATGATATCTAAGTGTTTTCCTTTTACTATGAGCTGTTAAAATTAGTTATTAATAACACTGAGTTATTTTATACGATGATTCTCAATAAATTTTGCTGTGTAATAATAAACTCTAATTAACTGGAAATTTATTCAAACAGTTGTTAAAGTTTGGTTTCCTTCAAACTTTTTGTTACTTCCTTGATTTGTCTACCCACTTTTGGTGCTGAGGATAACTTGTCTCATCTAGATTAAGACCTTGACGCGATAGGCTGACCGGCTTAAACCTTGAGGATAGTAGGCGTGAGTTCGAAGTGGGTTACAGAGAAGACAAGTCAACTGGAGTACTACTCGATTTATTATCGATTGTGATCTAGTTCCCGATTTCAGATCAGTTTAAAAAGATAAATGAATAAATAGATGACTAACCCAACCACAACGTATAATAATTAGGAAAATACGATTATGTTCCAAAACTGGGGATTAGCGCAGAAAATAGAGTGCAATATAATATGTTTAAATTACAATAGTTTTGGAACAAAAAGGGCTATGGCAGTGAATCATACATCAAACGAAAGCTTATGTTCTGTATAATAGACTAGGAACAAAAATAAATGTTACTGTTTTACAAGCTTTGAATTAAATGAAATAACGTCCCGAGAAATAGCTTCCGTACTTTGTCAAGGCTTCTTTTTTCTATGTTCATATCACTTTTAATAGAAATTATGCTATAGCCTACATTAAGTACGTCGTCCATCAAATCCAATGAAATTGTATTCAGTACAACAGTATTTGTTAATCACGGCTATTTAACGATTTGGCGAGACTATAATTTATGGACGAGCCAGTCAGAAGCGTTTGAGGGATTTCAAGGTCACGGAGCCAAGTTTAGTACCTGATGCTAACGTACAATCAGTTCACAGCAGATTTTAGAAAAAACGTGATAACTGAGCGGCTGCAACAAATGGGACTACTAAGAAATTCCTTTATTTGTGATTGTGATAATCAAATGACTTGTGAACCTTGTGTAGACCACCGTGATGATACTGTCTTTCGATATGTGTTGGAAAAAATCTGCTAGAATAGGACTTTTCACCTCTGTCTAGATTAAGATTAAGGCAAATTACGACAATTGTTGAGAACTGCATAATAAAAGTATCAGTAACAATGGCTGCAGCCGGGTACTACAATACATACGGATGATTGGAGAGCTTACAGATGCCTCCATATACTTATTTTATGTGTATCGTTCCGTTATCCATAAGCGACATTTTGTGGACCTAACAACCGGAATGCACACAAACAACTGTGAAGCTATATCCTCGAGGCTGCAAGAGTTTTTGTCACCTTATAATGGCTCCAGAGGCCTACTATTATGGAGAAATATAGATGATTCCCTCTACTATATGCATTACGATTTCAGAACCTCTTTCTAAACTTGACAAGTTTTTGAACAGTGTAAAAGAAAGGTATCGGCTTTAATTCTCTAGTTTTGTACAGTATATTTTCACTCTACTGTTTTCTCATTGGCTAATGTTTCTCAAAGTCACTTAAGATTCGTTCAAAGGTCGTTCATAAATTGTAGTCTTGCCAACGACTTCTTTCGAGAATTAACATTTATACGTAGGGTTAGGAGCGAAGCATAACATTGAAGTAATAGCTTTCGGATTAAAATAAATTTTTCCAGTTAGATGGATTGTCACCATTTTTCCATGAAAGAACTGTACGTTGACGGTAAGATTTTCAATGGGTTAATCTATGTTCATACCATAGGAACTACTTTGGACTTTTTTAAACGTCTCACTCAGTCATAATGATTGTAGAATGAGACACAAATGTGGATCAGTTTAATTTGGCATACCATGCCAACAAAGTGAAATGAAACCATCAGGATAAATCCCAGAGTTATAGACATCTTACCAGTATCAGTGGTTGTAAATAAGAAAGATTACGCATAGAGAATATGATTCGAGAATTCATGGAATACAAAGCATAAAGTTAAAACCCAAGATTTGAGGAGAGACTAAGAATGGATATGTCTGTATCACTGGAACCAATCCTGTCCCATATCACCCGACAACTAAACGTGAACATTGACTATTAATTCAACATCTGACATGGCTCTGATCAACAATCGGTGACTTCAAGGAGTGATGCCATATTATGGTTTGACAAACTTAGCTTTATTCCAACCTACATCTACAGCAGTTAACATTGAACATCAAAATGGGCGATGATTGCGCATATGTAATATATATTGCAACCAGTTCAATAAATGAAGATTGACAACTATATCAACTGATCTGCCATCATTACCAAGTATCCTATATCTATCCTCAGTACTTGATAATAAAGTGTATCTCTGACAATAAGAGACACCAAGACGAAAACCTATACAAGCACTTTTCTCAGTAACGAGTTATGGCAATTCTTAAGTTTCGATTCAGATCATGAATCGATCAATGTTAGACCACCGTTGAAAACTTGGAAGCACTGGGTGACCGTTTCGTCCTAGTATATGACTTTTCAGCAGTGCTTATCCACGATCCAGTGTGGGGGGTTCGAACCCAGGACTTTCGGTCTCACGTGCGAACGCTTGACCTCTAGACCACTGAGTCGGTATTATTTTCCATCTGAGATCTTTAGTATGATACATTTCCTTGATATGTGTACCATAACAAATACTCTTTATACACATACATTAGCATCTACTCGAATCAACATGCACAGATTTCTTTCATTGTGAAACGTTCAAAAACACTGAAAAATAGTTCAACTAAACTTTTATTTAAACTTCATGTATGGCTTAAAATTATTACGAATTACAGTCCACATTGTAATTCACGTAAACTCTGAGTAACTCTAAAAAGACATATTCCTCATCTATTTTTATGTACTTAATAAATGTTTATAAACACAAATGAATAGAAATAAAATTTGCTTATATAATAATAATGACTGTGTAAATATATCATGTAAGGGTAGTGTAGTGGGGAAATGAGTGCAAAATTCTACATTTAGGTATATAATACAGTGTTAACATGAAAATTCTGAGCCTGAAACAAATGCATACAATAAATAGTCAAATCTTTCTTTTTCTATCAATATAAAATTAGATAAACCTAATGCTAAAACTTATTATATACTGTTTGAGAAAAATAAGAAGGGAAAAAATAAGAATCAATATTTACAGTAATGTAAATTTTCAAAAAACAACACTAATCAACGTCTTTTACGTGTTGCTTGACGTGAATGTAACTGTCTAAGATTTCGTTGTTCCGTTTTTTTTAGTTCAATATCAACACTTTCTAATGCTTCATCAAGTTGTTCTTGAAAAAATGAATCTGGTAATAATTGAGTTGATTCAGCTAGAGGTGGAAGACGTCTATGAGTAGTGGAACGTGTTTGTCTTTTTTGTTCTTTTGTAGATGCTTTCTCACGTGTTTTGATTACTTGTTTATGACGTACAGGTCGACGACTAGTGTTTTGTGGTTCAGATTTACAACTGCGTACATCATCCTCATCATCATTTTCGTCTGTCTCTTCATCATTTGTATTATTGATGTTTTCTTTAGCAACCTCCTCTTCATGTAAAGTGATACTAAGTTCTAATTCACTATCCGATAAACAAACAGAGGAAGGAATGGGAGAAGGTAAATTGGGAAGTTTTGGTGGACCAAGTCTTTGAGTTAACCGGCCGCCATTTTGCTTAAGTCGTAGACGAGAAGCATTCCGAAGGTTTCGTTTAACTTGATTTGTTGAGTTTTCTGATATATATGTACTATTGTTTTCATTTAGTTCTTCATCCCGGTGAGGAATAGAAGCATTAACTGTATACACCGATTTTGAGGCATCTACCTCATTGTGCTCTTCTGTCTGAATCCCAATTGAAACTCCAAGACTCAATGAGCTAACCTGAATAAAATTTTAAAAAACAAGACAACATATATAAACTGATAGATCAATCATTACATGATGCGATTTTAAATAGACAAGATGAATAAATACGACATATTTTGACAATATATGTAAAACCTCCTATCAACCTATCTTGAAGTTGATCATAAGAAACAGGGATTAGAATTCTTGGATGTTTTAGCGATTACTGGTACTATGATTTGTTTTTTTCAGGTCAGATAACCAGACTGAAGTGACCTAATTAGCTAGGTTACAAACAAAGATAAATTTATCGAAATACACAACTTATAAAATGAAACAAACTATAATAAGTTAAATAATCCTTTTGTGTTTATATCACTGCAGTCTCTTCCATATGATACATATGGTACACTTTTATTCAAATGATTACATACGGTGAAATATGGAATCACTGAAAAGTGTAATAAGTTGAATAGAACATAAACACAACACTGTGTTTAACGAAATGCTAAATAAGAAATATACGGTCTAGGATTATCAACAAGAACCATCTAAACGTAAATAAAATAAAACATAGAACCCAGTAGCTTTGAACAACCAAGTGAACAAAATACGTATGAAGAGAACTTTTAATATCATTTAATATCGTTTAGGTGGCCGATGGGGACTTGTTGGTCGCAGGACAGATAACGGGGACCGTCTACTGCAAATGTGCACAGACCACAACCTGTTTCTGGCTAGCACTAACTTTCGGCACAGTCATCGCCGATGTGCTACCTGGTGTCCTCCCTCTGCATCCCAAGCCTGGACTCAGATTGATCACATCCCGATCAGCTACCGCTGGCGTGATTGTGTACAAGACTGCCGCTCCTTTTGGAGTACCTATCTGGACTCTGATCATGCCTTGGTCTGCGCCAATCTTACCTTACTTTTCAGTGGACCGAAACCAACGGATTGATTTTAGCGAGCTGGTTGCAACTACTGTTGCAAGTAAGTATCGAACCGAGCTAGCTTCTAGGTTAGCTGCCATTCCACCGGAAAGTATGGATGAGCATTGGTTTCAACTGCATGATGCCATGAAAATGGCGAGTAAAGCTGCTTGCGGGTTCGCGAAACGTCCCGGTTATAAGCACTGGGTTTCTTCAGGCTCCTTACAACTCATTGAAGCCAGCCAGTCTACTCTGGGTGACCGTGAGTTTGACAACAGACGAAGAATGTTACGTAAGGAAATTGGGCAAAGCTTGCGTAA